GGTAACAGTCAGGATCGGTGCTGTTAAAGCCATGGTTGATCCGGGTCGGCACAGAGCTCGATGCTGGGACAGAAACACACTCCCTGGCGCCGAGGCGCATGGAGGGCTGTAGGATCAGCCTCGATGCCCGGAAATCACAATTTTAAAAACCGCAGACATTTTTAAAATGAAACATTGAACCCCTCGCCATCCAGCCCTTTCAGAGTACAACGGCGCCCCGGCCAGTTTTCGGTGGGGCTGCTTCTCGGAAGCAGACTTTACTTCAGGGAATCTTCTCGGCAGCTTTGAACCTTCCACCAGTCAGCAGACACGCTCTTTGCTGTTGGTGTGGGTACGCTTGCGTTCTGTGGGGTACGCTTAGAGCCTTTGTGATCAAGGAGGAAAAAACCCGACAACACGTTGATTTGCCGAACAATTGAAAGCAACACCAACATTCACTGCCGTCGACTCATAGCAACCCTATAGGACAGGGTAGAACTGCCCCTATGGGCTTCTGCAGAGAGAAATCTCTACAGAAGTAGACAGCCTCCTTCTTCTCCCTCCAAGTGGCTGGTGGTTTTGAACTGCTGAATTTGAAGTTAGCAGCCCAGTGTGCTGCCAGGCTCCTGGGCAAACAGTCAAGGTCGTGTGTGTATCCGTCAGCAGTAAAACCGCCCGTGATGTGGAATCCTGGAAGAACGTGCATCCAGGGGTCACCTTGTGCCTGTCCTTTCTTGCCTTTGCAGCCATCCGACTGGACGGGGTCGACGTCATCGGCTACACGGCCTGGTCCCTCATGGACGGCTTCGAGTGGCACAGAGGCTACAGCATCAGACGCGGGCTCTTCTACGTTGATTTCCTGAGCCAGGACAAGAGGCTGCTGCCCAAGTCCTCAGCCCTGTTTTACCAAAACGTGATCGAGAAAAACGGCTTCCCACCTTTGCCAGAAAACCAGCCGCTGGAAGGGACCTTTCCCTGTGACTTTGCGTGGGGAATTGTTGGCGACGACGTGCCAGTAAGTGTCAGCTGACGACCCAGGCCCCCTGCCCACGGCCCCCCACCCACTCGTGCTCGCTTCTGAGGCTGGCGAGGAGGGCTTCTCAGCGGTCACATGAGCGCTGCTCTGTTCTCTCCAAAACCCTTAGCTGCCTCTTGCTCTTCAAATCAGACTCGAAGGGTGAGAGATGCACAGGATTTAAGTGGTCAAGGTCTGGTCAGAAAGCCAACATCTCACGTACTTTAGACACGTTGTCAGGAGGGACCGGGCCCTGGAGAAGGACATCATGCTTGGTAAAGTGGAGGGGTGGCAAAACAGAGGAAGGCCCTGGGCGAGATGGAGGGACACAGTGGCCGCACCAATGGCCTCGGGCATAGGGGCAGTTGTGAGATGGTGCAGGGCCGGGCGGTGCTTCGCCGTTGAGCATAGGATGGTGCTGAGTCGGCGCGGACTTGATGGTACCCATCAGACCTTGAAGGTTTGCCTCTGACTCATAGCAACCCTACAGGACAGAGAGCTTCTCCCGTGGGCTCCCCAGCCTATAAATCCCCTCAGGAGTCAAAAGCCTCGTCTTTCTCCCAAGGAGCAGCTTGTGGCTAGCAGCCCAGTGAGTAACCCACAGCACCGCCTGGGCACTTCAGGTCTGATGAGCATGCGAGGAGGAGCCTGGTGGCACAGTGGTTAAGCACTCAGCCGTTGACCACAGAGTTGCTGGTTTGAACCCATCAGCTGCGCCAAGGGAGAAATGTTGCAGACTGCGTCCATGAAACCCCAGCCTGGGAAACCCCGCGGGTTTTTGATTCTGATCGCAGCGTCGGACAACCTGTGAGACCGTTCTGATTGGGAAGCTCACGGCCGTCGAGTCAGTTCTGACTCATGGGCAGAGTAGAGCTACTCCTGGGAGTCTCCGAGGCTGAAAGTCTATGGAAGCAGACAGCCTCCTCTTTCTCCCAAGGAGCGGCTGGTGGGCTTGAACTGCCGACCTTGTGGTTAGCAGCCCAATGCATAGGCCACCCAGGCTTCTCTGTTCAGAGGACAGCCTTGGAACCGCTGTCTGCAGTTCTGTTTTGTCCTGTAGGGTCACCATGAGTTGGCATCTGCACCTTTTTAGAGCAGGTGAGCTCTCTGGCGGCCAGAACAGGACGTTCTCAGGACCCAGAGGACCCAGATTCCACTGTCGCTCTGGGCATGGGAGCGGGAGCTGGAGCCAGAGTCCCGGGGAGGCACAACTACCGGCCACCTCAGCTTTGCAATGTCCCTGACAACGGGACCCTGCCCAGTCGTCAAGGAAATGAATGGCAGCCCCTCACCAGCAGTCAGTCAGCCAGTGTGTGAGTCCCGGTAGACTAGAGAAACAAATCCAGGGAGACTCCTGTGTATAAGAAAGAGCTACATATACAAGAGCAATTGAATATTGAGAAAACATCCCAGCCCAGTCCAGATCAAGTCCATAAATCCGATATCAGCCCATATGTCTGTTACCAGTCTACAAATTCTTCAGACTCACATAGAACATGCAGTGACGCCGAATGCAGGGAGGTCACAGGCCAGTGAGTGGAAAGTCCTGTGGATCCAGTGGTGGTGGAAGCATCTCAGCGTTGGCAGGGGTCTCCACGTGGCTCCTCAGCTCTGGGGCTCTGGCTCCATCAGTGTAGCTCCATGTGGCTTATCCACAGCAATGTCTCCCAGGGAGTCAGTCTGTGTCTGGCCTCTAGCGAGCTATTTATGTCCTTAGTGCCTCCGAATGAGGTCATCAAGTTGCCACCTGATCGACAGTCTAAACTCCACCCCATCACGCTTAATCGTCTCAAGTTGACAACAGATTATGTAACTACCACAACCAGTGTTCATCCAGTGCCTACTATGTAGTCAGCCTCCCGCCCCCCACACACCATTTACGTTTCTTTTTTAAAGGTCTCGCTTTCTAGAATTTGAACACTTGAGTAAGCATTCATTAGATGCCTCGTACGATGTCCCAGGGGAGCCCTGTGGCTTTGTGGTCACTCATGGGGCTGCGAACCACAAGGCCTGTGGAGAGCTACCCCAGTGGTTCAAAGCCGCCAGCTGCTCTGATGCAGGAAGAGGAGGCTTTTCGTTCCGTAGAGAGTCGCAGTCTCGGAAGCCCACGGGGGCAGTTCTACTCTGCTCCACAGGCTCGCTGAGAGTGTGCATCGACTCGATGTCTGCGGTCCAGGAGCCCCGTTTCACAGTGGTTAGGGGTTCAAACCCACCCAGCAGCTAGGAGGAGAACGAGCTGGCGGTCTGATGGTCTGGGGCACCGCGCTTGGCGCCGAGTCAGAACTGACTCAGTGGCACCCGTGCCAGGAGGGAAGGGCATGTGCCAGTGTGGCTTCAGGCCTGTCAGTGCAGAGCAAGGCCGGCGGGGGCAGGACTGCAGAGTGCGCAGGGTGGGGGCTGCGGCGTGGAGTCTCCGTGTGAAAACAACGACCCAAACCGAGACCAGCGGAGGGCTGCTGCTTGAAAACTCACCGGCTGGCCAAGTGGCAGTTGCAGAAGAAATGCCGGCGAGAATAGAGTCACGGAGGTCCAGATGGGGAACGCATTCAGATGCTACCCGAAGGTTGGCTGTTCACACCCAGCCAGCGGCTCCGCTGGAGAGAGACCTGGGTGTCGATCCCCCAAAATATCCGCCATTGGAAGCCCCCTGGAGCCTAGTCTGCTCTGACTCCCCAGAGGTCACCACGAGCCAGAGTTGAGGCCACAGCGCCTGGTCGGTTCAAGTCCCTGTCGTTCCTGTCAGGGTCCATGGGTTGGCTCCCACGCATGTGACAGCAGAAAGGGTGCCCTGGTCCTGGGCCACGCTCACAGTCATTACTGCTTGAACCACGGTGTCTGTTCATCTCACTGAAGGTCATCTTCTACTGCTGACCCTCCCCTTGCCCAGCACGGTGTCCCTGCCTGGTGTTGACGCCGCCTGATACGGCATCTGAATAATGGGGGATGAAGTCTAACCAGACTCCCCCCTAAGGAGCATTCTGGCTGGACTTGGACCACGAACGACCCTGCTTATCTCCCTAGGAGGCCTTGGTATCGTTAACACTTTGCCGACACCACACTTCATAGTTGAGCTTTCAAATGCTGCAGAAGGCCCGGGGCGGGGGAACCTCCGTTCTCACAGGGACACATCTGCGCCCTGACTCTCTCAGGAGATCGTTTTGCAGCAGATTTGCCCGATGCCCTCTGCCGTTCGATTTCCTGACTGCTGCTCCCACGGGTGCTGATTTTAGAAATCCTTGACAGCTTAAACTGTTTCTCCACTGAACACGATGCTGACCGGCCCAGTCATGAGGGTTTTGCTGCCGTGTGGTCCACACGGAGGCCGTACGCTTTGATCTTCATCAACAAGCACTGCGGGCCTGTTGGCTTTTGGCAAGCGAGGTTGGGTTGGCTACCTGTCGAAGGTTGTTCACGAGCTCCCCTCCAGTCCTGATGCCGGTTCTTCTTCAGGTGGTCCAGCGTCTCAGAAGGTGCACCCGGCACTTAAACTGGATAATGTGTTAGGCAGTGTTCTCTAGAGAAACACAACCAGGCACTTATGATTATATACATATGGGTAGGCTTATACAGCACGAAGGAATATAACAGCTAATTAATCCACACAGCAGTACAGAGGGCTCAGTTCAACCCACTTCTGTGGAACAGTTAATATACTGGAAGTCCTTCAAGTCACAAGGGCTTGATCCAAGTTCAAGGAAGCAGACACCGGAGTCTTCCCTGGGGCAATACAGGCAGAGTCTGCTCACAGACAGCATACAGCAGGCTGGGTCAGGAACTAGTCAGCTGCTCAGGAGCTAAGCAAAGCAGGCCCGGATGGGATATCAAGCTCAAGCAATGCAAGATGACAAGATCCACCAGCCTCAAGCTCAAGCGATGTACATACCAGCAGCGTGGTGAAGCAGGTTTCAAAACTCCTCAAGCTCTAGCAACACAATCCACAGGTTGGCTGTCCCACAGGTAGTGTAGCTCACAAGTTGAGGCAGAGAACTAGCTAAAGCAGCTGCATGCTAGTCCTATCACCAGAAAGCAAAGAGGAAGGGCGGGCCTTGCCGAGCCATTTATCTCTTTGCCCGCCAATCAAACGTCACTCTGATTAATCCCACATGTTCCTATTGGCCAGGTTGGCACAATAAACCTGCCTATCACAGATAACGATGGTGAGAGAACACGACCATCATTCTAAAATGACAAAATTCTGTGACCATAGATGGCATTACTTGAAGAGAGTGACACTTCTTAGGATGTCGTTTGTAGGAGCATCCACAGCCAAAGAAAGACGGGACGTTCAAACCCACCCAGCGACTCTGTAGGAGAAAGACCCCGGTGTCTGTTCCCCAAACACCAGCCGTTGAAACCCTGTGGAGGCTGGTGATCTGCTCCCACAAAGAGGGCAGCCTGGGGCCCCTAGGTAGAAGCTCCACTCTGATCCCCTTGGGTGCTCTATCACCCCAGGAATCAGCTCCCTGCTCGGCACTGACTGGGCCTAGTTAATGCCCGCTCTGAGGGGGCAGGGAAAATGGAAAGGCTGCTTATGAAGACGTCAGGGAACGGAGCATCCACAGCCTCTAGGCCGTAATTATTCTGGCTCATTTCCGTTCCCAAACAACGTTTACACTGTATTTCTGACAATACCGATTATGGGACATCTGCAGGTTGGCTTAATTCTTCAGGTCTGTGACACAGAGCACAGAAAGCCCTAAGACAATAAATGCACAACATCTCAATGCCTGCTTTCATCATGAACCTTGTACAGGACCCAAACCAAACCTGCTTCCATCGAGTGGATGCCGACTCATAGCAACCCTGTAGGGCAGGATGGAGCTGCCCCTGTGGGTTTCAAAGACTAACATTCACAAGAGTAAAAAGCTTCATCTTTTTTTTTTTTTAATGCAACCCCCAATTCCCGCCCCCCTCTCCCCACAGCAGCCAAAAGCCTCATCTTTTGCAAAGTGCTCTGGCTGGTGGTTTCAAACCACTGACCCACTCTGTCACCTGGGCACCTATCA